AGCATTTTATTATGATATATAAATTTTGTCTTCTTAAATTACTCTCTATGAGTTGAACAGAAAGGGATTATGGTGGAGGGGGGAATATACAAAAATAAAAGGATATTGTGAACTACTGCATCACCACATATACAACAGTAAAGTACTTTACAAGCACTTAGAGAATCAGACTTACAAAAATAAAAATATGACACATCCTTATGCATTTCCACCACTTATATGTTCTCCTTCTCTAACCTTCAGACACCTTTCAACCCCATCCTCAGGTCACGACTCACATGGTAGGATACTTTGCTCATTTTGATGACCATCACAGTATCTGAAAAAGAATTAGTGCCTCCCAAGACCTAAAAAATCCAATGGTTATAGGAAAGCTTTAGGGGAGATATTCAGAACAGATCAATTTGTGAGTGATCAGGTGATCCTCAGGGAGCAGAGTTTATCTGGCAGTAGAAATCCGAATATCCCACAAGAAGATCCATCATCCCCTATAAAGCATTCCCCCATCTCCCCAGAGGCACAGCTCTGTGCATGTTTGCTTGGCACACACACAGTAAGTACCCCGTAAGCCTGGGGAACACTGATGCTCACAGACTTCAGTGGGACTGAATAACTGTGGCAGAGGAGGGATCTGATTTTGTTTCAGCTCTAAAGAAGGCAAGGAATGCCTCTTCCTACAGGAAAAAAGGCAGGTTAAAAATACAATGGCTAAATATCCTAGCTCACAGTGTCCACACATAGAATCATTTGCCTCTAGACCAGACTCACACAGTCTTTAGTCTTCAGTTTGCTCTACAAAGTCTTTTGCCTTCTGTGACCTTTCCTATTTTTTAAGACACACTCAACATAAATAGTAAATAGCATTCACTTCTCTGACCAGCAGCTCACTCAAACACTGCTATCAACACCCAAACCCCATTTCATCATTCCCAGAAATGTTGCACCAAGGGTGCAAATCTGTCTGTATTTCACATTGAGAAAAGTAGAGTGGGCTTAGGAAGAAAAAAAAAAAAAAGGAAAAGGCAAAAAATAAAGATAAGCAGTAAACTGGTTTGGTCAAAGTTGTTCTCTGTGGTTTGTGCAAAGTATTCCACAGATTTTGAAAGTCCAGTATTTCGTTAGGGTTTCCTCTTTTTGGCCCCAAATGTAATGATAGCAATGCAGGCAGATCAGACACCAGCACACTCTGTTGCATTCAGGGGCAAAAGAATCACAGGAATGAAGGGGGTGAAGGGGAACCCCACACCTTTGGGATAGTGAGTTTCCATATTGAAAAAAATCAATCTTACCCCCAAATCCCCCCCCAAAAAAGAAAGATGCCTTCTGTGAAAGTTTTTGATCTCAAAAATAACTCTTGATGGACAATAATTCCAAAAGGCAGAGTCTAACTTTACCCATCAGGCTTACAGGACTGTGGGCAACATGTACATCAGGATCCCAGGGAGAAATTGTGCAGCCACAGTCCGAGCTGCTCAAGGAAACTCACCTTTCCATGGTCTAAATTAATCACTTATATCTTTGAGAAAATATACAGGAATAAAGATCTGTTGGTTGAGATTAATAATGCTCCATTTAAAAGAAAAGCACCTCCCTAGTGGGACTAATCATTCCTTTTAGATGTACAAACATACTACAGCTATGGCACGAGGCACTTCTTGGCTGCTTGCAGCAATTCTTCATTGGCAACACACACACAAAATACAGTTTCTGGTGTTTAAGCAAAACAAAAAAGTCATCACTTTTCCCAGTCATGGTAAGGCAAACTTTGGCTCTTCCACCACTGCCTAACCCAGCCACAGGGATGGGAGCAGCAGGGACAGGGTGGACAGGCAGAGTGGGATCTGTGCCCAGGCAAGGGTGAAGACTTGACCCTCTATGGTTTCCTTGTCCTCAGGAAAAACAAAGTCCCTTTCCAGCGCCAGCTTTTGCTGAGAAGAAAAGCAGCTTGTGATTGGGCCCATGGGAGACACCTCGTAAGAAGGTATTTTTAAAAAATTTCTACAGATCTCAGGCAATGTCCCAGTTGGGATGTGGTCCAGGGTTGTAGTCCCACCATAGCCACTGTGGCCACACAGCTCAGAATGTGTTCAGCAGCCTAGAAACCCACACTGCTCTCTGTCTTTTTTTTTTCCCCCTAACATGGCAAGACCACAAAAGCTGCTTAAACTCAAAGGAGCAGGAGCATGTTAGGTCATTTCTAGTCTATTTGCAGAGAAAACAAAGCATGAAGCTTCAAAGAGGCCTGGCCTGAGTGTGTGGGACCCTCCAGTGCCAAGGATGCAGCTTTCCACTGCACCCTCCTGGGGGTCACATCCACCTGTGAGATTTTGCCTCTGCAGCCCCTGTCCCTGTGTGGTGAAAGTCCAGGCTGAGGTTCAGGTCTCTCTGCTGGATCTGTATTTGCTCACTAGTTTTTTGGCTTTCCTTGAATTCTTTTTTTATGTTGTGGCCAATATTTAGGAAGCAGAACTAACAGTGGAGAAGGCTGGCAGAAGCCTGCAGCCAGTCATGATAAAAGAGATTTTTTTCTGGGGAAAACCTGTCCTGCTCAAAGACCAATGTGATCAAAAATTGTAGCTTTGTGCTTGAAGCAAGGGAATAATCCAGCTGTTAACAGGAGCAAAGCCTGATGTGTGGTCAGAACAGGGAGTCTCTGGCATCCCTTTGGCTCTGAGGCCAGCCTGTCTCCATGCTTGCTCAGTGGAGGTGCCTGCAATCTAATCTGTCATCATGCAGGGATCTCCTGGGTGTGAGTGCTGGCCCTGCTTTTGAACCTGGATAACAGTGTTGCTCAGCTTGGAAACCTGCCCCCCTTTGTACAGACTCTCATGGATATGTGCAATGAGCCCTCCAGAGCCTTCATGTGTACCCAGGAAGGCAGGTGGGTATTTCCCCCAGTCCCAAGGCTCACTCAGCAACACTTGGAGAACAGGACAGACCTCATGATGAACTACCAAGTAAGTGCATCACCAACTTAACTGCACTGGGACCGGGACCATGTTCATCCTCACATCTCCTCCCTACTGCCTAAGCCAACTCCATGTTTGCTGGTGCCCTGGGGAGAAGGGTTGCTTCAGGCATAATAATCCCTTCAGAGGCAGACAGTGCTTTTCCAGGCTTTGATGCTGACAGTCAGTGACAGCAAAACCTGACCAATAACAAATATAATCCTTGTTTGTGTTGCTGTAAAGAATTCAACAGTAGGTGGAAGCCTTGGAAATCCTTTGAGAGGTTTCTCCCCACCAAGTGCTAACTCCCAGAGAAGCAGAGTTCATCACTGCCATAACACATATCTTTCAGTGCTAATGATGCTTCAGCTGTCAGGATTTAAGTTTATATATAAAGACTTTATATTTACCTCTGCTGGAAAAACTGTGCTTCATTTTAAACAAGAGAACTCTGTTTCATAAAGGTCATGGTTCTGGTCACATTTACCAATTGCTTTTTGAAACTTATGGAAAGAGTATCTTTATAAGTCACTATTTAATTTTACTATTTTTTCAAGTTTTTCAGATTTTTATTTTTTTTTAATCTCTGTGGGTTTGTGCGTCAACTGTTCTGGGCAATCAGCTACGTCTTGTTGACATCGTTAATAGGCTTTCTGACTTGGCTGCTCAGCTGTGTTCTGAAGTAACTCCATCAGACTCACAGCAAGTCAGGAACAAAGTGGAAAGTTTAGAAGAGGGAAAGCTGGAAATTAATTTCCGGAGCTGTGTGGTTATTTTCTAAGTCTGAGCAGCATGCAAGAATTCTTGGTAAGATTTCTGGAGACAATTCTGTGCTATTTTCAAAAGTTATATGTTTGTGGGAATCCAGGCTCTTGCAGATTTTTCAGCAAGCTAACAAAGTGAAGGGATACCAGGAAATGGGATTCATGAGTGGGGAATGGTTTACCACAGGATGGCTGTACTGACTCCTGCTCACTCAGTGTTTCTTGGTCCTTTTGCAGAGACAGCTCAGCTGTTTGTGAAGTACCTGTTGAATTGCTACAGCCTGGATGATTTAGAAAGACCTGGACTGATTTGGGCTCTTCAAGCTATTCACAGAAAGTTTGGCTGCTCCTCCACAGTCAGAAAAGCTGTCCATGCGACAAGTATGGAAACCATTGAGAGGGTGAGTTAACCCTGCCCTGGGCTTCTTTGAAGCCAGAGATCATCTTCCTGCCCTATGCTCTTCCCTGCAATAGTGCCATTCCCTGAAACTCAGAAGGGTTGCAAGTGCTTAAAGATCCCTGTAAACTGAGTGTTCAAGGCAGTGAACAGCACAGCACACTTGGACTGACAAAACTTTTGAAAAAGGGCAATGGGCTCCTAAATCATTTGCTCAGTTTTAGAAACTAGCCCCCCACCTATTCAGTGTCCTCAGTCTCCAGTGCTTACTCTCAGCTGGGCTCACAGAAGACGTGGCTGGGTCAGGGCAGGCCCTTCTCCCATCTCCTGGCTGTGCTGTGCCTTGCCATGGTATACAAACCTCCAGTGGCTTGCAAGAGCACCAGGAGCCTGTTTTTCTCCCTTTTCTTGGGGTGACAGTCCCCACTGCTCCCAGGAAGTTAGGCTGAGGTGACTGCAGTGGTGCAATACTGCAGCTCCCTCTCAGATGAGCTGTTGGAGCAAGCTGTGGTGTATTAATAACCAACTCCTCTGCAGTTCAGCTCTGAGACCTGGCCTGGTCTAAGCCGGGCTGACCAGACGCTGACTCTGCAGTTGGTCTTCCCTTTGCAGAGATCAAAATAGCTCTGAATGTTACAGTGACTCTCACCTATGTGCTAGACGAGACCTACAGAGCTCACTAGGCTCTGCTACGGGTAACAGGGTCCTTGGTCATCTTGAATTCATCTAAACACAACTCAAAAATAGATATGCTCAAGGAAAAAAAACAAAAACAAAAAACAGAATCGAGATCGTGAATGTCAGGAATGTCGCAAAATACAAGCCAGCCTCTCTCACTGATCAAAACCATCCCGTGCCCTGCAAGCCTCCTCCCAGCCAGTTCAGCCTCACCCACAACGAGGTGTTCTCCAGCCATTGATGTTCAGTCGCCATCCATGAAGGCCCAGCCAGAGGCCCGGCGAAGGCCGCGGCCTTCCCGGAGGTCGCGCGGTTGCCGGGGCGGATCAGAGGGTCTCGCTGTAGATGACGCACGGGCTGGTTTCCTCACAGAGTTCCAGCTGCACGCTGGAAGCGAACCAACGCTTGGCACAACCCAAGCTGTAGCTGAGGGTGGTCCGGTAAATGTTCTTGGCGCGCTTGGGAAAAATGATGGTTGTGCTCTGAAACCTCAGTGGCTTCTGGCGGGGCTCGAAGATCAGCTGGGACTTGTAGTTCCGCCAGGTGCAGTTGGGAGCAGCGATGATTGTCTCGCTGTAGGTGGTGACGGTGGGGATGGGGCCGTAGAAAATGTCGTCCCGGTAATGCTTCTCGGAGTCGTACTTCACCTCGGAATTGCACCTACAGAGGACAGCAAGGTATCACGAACACAGCCCAGGCAGTAAAGGAGATAAGACAGGCAGGGCTCTGCTCTAACCCTTTGAAGCTGGCAATATTTATGATCTCTTACTGCACAGATACTGGGGCTGATGCCAACTCTACAACAGAGAGCAAGGGCCAAAAGAGGACTCCATCCTTCTGGTGAATCTTGGTGGAACCACCCCTCACTGTGAATCCATCTCAGCATTTCTGCAGTGCATGTGCACAGGGGACCATGGTCCTGCCAGGGCAGAAAACACCTTGGTGCACAGGCTCCAAGCCACCCACTTCTTCCTCTGGTTTCCTCCACAGGCCCCACTGCAACCTCAGCTCAGCCCTGAGAGCAACACTGGAGGCAAACACCCTGTAATGGACTTGTTGAGCTGTCAAGGCTGTGTGTTTGTCTTTTTTCTTTGTAGTGCCTTGCCATCAGAGCACGAAGATGCCCAAGCTAGCTAAAATCAGAGTGCTTGGAGATGAGGGGTGAAATTGCTTGTTGGAGCCTACAGAAAATCCAAGCAATGGTGACAGAGAAGGTAAAGCAATGGCCTACTGCAGGCTATGGCTGCTCAGTACCCACATCACTGGTCCCAAAGAAAGTAACCACCTGAACAGCCATATGAAGAACCCACAAAACTTGGAATATCACTACCCTGCCTGTTTTCTGCAGGCATCCACAAGGGATGTAGGGACAGCAGGCCACAGACAGCAGGCCACGTGAAGGGCTTTCCCTAGAATTCCTAGCCACGAGGAACAGCAGGACTTTCACTGGTTTTCCCTGCTCCCCAAACGCTCCTCTAGCAATCAGCAGCCAAGGAATGTGCAGCTCCACGTAAAAAAGATTAAAAGCTGGGTGTGTGCTCGTCATTACCTCCACCCAGAGGGGGGCTGACTGATTGTGCATCGAGTGTAATCTGAGCTGCTGTAATGTATTTTGCACAGCCAGGGTGTAAGCAAGTCATTCAGCACACATAAAACACGACTCAGATGTAATCACCATAAAAACATGCCCGCTGGCAGTTCCTCAGCCAGCAGAGATTTACTGGGGTACATTTCCAGAGAGACGTTGCATAGGTTGAGGGAGGTGGGAATTTGCTTTACAGTCCTCCCACTGTCCCTGCCCCAAGCTGTGTGTAACTGCTCCAGGCTGTTTTTGGAGTACATTCCACACCAGCAAAAGAGGAAAAGAAGAGCAGAGACCAATGTTTATCCACCAGCCCCACAGGAGGGCAAAACATCTCCATCACTACCTTAAGGGACCATCTCCTCACTAGGAAGAGCTCATTCAGTCTCTATGGACTGATCTAATGTTGCTTTCTCTGCTGCAAGGGCTAACAAAAACAGGTGCCAATTATAAGGGTGTTGCTTCTTCTCAAGATACAAGTCATCTGGGAACAGTATGAAGACTATCAGATTAGTTAGTGGAGCTATCAAGCCCACAGATGGTAATGGTTTTGTCTCATAGCCTTGGATTTGAGCTGGCCTTGGAAGGAAAGCTGCCTTCTGTTAAAAAACCTCCCTCCAGTTCTTGCCTCCTCCCCTCCACCTCCGCTGCTGTCAGTGTCTTTAATTCAGGTTTTACTCTCCTACCTGTCCCTCCCTTCCCATCAAAATAACCATGACTCCCATTTATAAACACATTTTAATTTTTGGCAGAAGGAAAAGCACCAGGAAAAACACAGAAATCCCCACCTACCCACCCAATCCCATCTGTACCTGATTTCCTGCACGGGCTCGGGGCTGACCTCAATGCTTTCTCCAAAAAACACAGGGTGCATTCGAGGCCTTATCTCTGACATGGACGGGTTCAGGAGCAGGTAAGGCATCTGCAGGAAAGGAGAGCACAGCAAGTGGGACACACCAGATGAGGTTCCTAATGTGCTGTGACTGGCAGCTGAGCAGCCTGATGCGACACTGTGGACTGCCCTCACCTATCAACACCTCCCAGGTACGTGACTCTGCCCAGATCTCTGGCACTCCATGCTGTGGTATCTGCTTGTTGAAATTTAACCCTTCTTTTCCTTCTTCTTTTCCTGTTTCTTATAGGAATTGCAATTGTTTGGGGATTTTCTTTAGCCCTGATATTACCTTTACTATTATGAATTAACAAGTCTTACAAACACTCGAAGTGCACCAGATGTGGAAAAGTGCTCCACATCTGACCTAACATAGATACAGGGCTTAAGTCTGCTGATTTAAAGGATATAGGTCTACTTAAGTGAGATCTGTATTTATATTTATATGTATATATATGTGTGTGTGTATATGTATATATACATATGTATATATATGTGTGTGTATACATATATATCTCTTACACTGATCCAGCAGAGGAAGTGGGAGACTTGCTGTTGCTGAAGTCTCTGTGCCAAAAATGGCTCTCATGCTCCAAGGGATATTCTAGTTAACCATGCACAGCTGAGGGTGGGGTGAGACACTGGGGCACCTTGTGGCCTCTGCAATGCAGGAAACCAGTTTCAAGCCAGGAGTTTATAATGAATGGAGCTGCTCCAATTCATGACACCAAAAACTGGATTTTTAAGACTAACTGCACCCTGAAGTTACTACTCTGACAAATTGTCACAGTCCAGCCTAAGCTTCTCTGCCCACCACAGAAATGAGTAATCCCAGTTCTCTATACTGAGGTGCTCCTAAACATCAGTTCCCACATACAGAGATCCTGTGTCCGGTGCCTGGACTAAACCCAGCAGCTAATTAAGCCTAATCCTGCCCTCCGGGAAAAATGTCATTGCATGTTTCAGTCCCTGCCACTACTTCTCTGTCAGCAGATATTTATGACCCACAGGGACATGGGTTTTCTTTAAAGGAGATGGCCCGGCAGCCTCTGTGCAGGGTCTCTAGATGGCTGAAAAGCTCATGGAGTTTTCTACTTTCTACCATGCAGAGGCCATATGTGCTACAATCACAGCCACATTTCACCCATGTAAGTCTGCAAGAGCATCTCAGGACTCACAGAATCCACTGACAGTAGCTGAGGACACAGCTCTTGTATTGGCTTGCTCATCCCAGGCCTCTCCCTTCCACCTGCCCCAGCATTTTCTGGTCGGGTGGCCTAAGAGACAACACTGGAGCTGTGACCTAGTTCTACTGGCAGCACTGGGAGAGGTTCTGCAGCCTGTGCCCTGCCCTGTACACTGTGGAGGTCCCCAAATGCTCAGTAGAGTGTCCCTCAAGCTGGTGTTAACTGAGTCCACTCAACAACATCAGCTCCCACTAGCTGAGGTCTGGTTTTCTCTTGTGGCTTGGACTTTCTGCCTCAGGCTAAGTCAAAAAAATGTCACTGCTCCGTCTGAATTCACCAAGCCCTTCAATTCTGTGTCCCAAAGCCACAAAGCTGTTTATTCTTTCCATACTGAAATATCCCTGCACTTTACTACTGTGTAAAGTAGTGCTATAAAGTAAAATGGCCAACCTCTCTTTTTCATTGAGTATTTCTGTTCCATTGTCAAAGGAGGATAGTATTTGCATGGGGGGGGGGAGGAAAAAAAAAAATATATATATATATGTATATGTTTACCCTTCCTACCAAACACTGGCCAAAAGGCAAAGTTCACTTCTGGATTGCTTTCAACACTCTTGATAGGGGAGCCTTTCTGGTCGTAAATAAAGCTCTTTGCTTCTGAAATGTGAATTGTTTACATCAGACAAGCCTCAATTCACAAGGGTGCAGATATCCAGCTTTTAATAGTCTGCACATGGCCAGAGCTCTTTCTAAAGACATCTTGTACACAAGAAGAGGTTCATTTGGGTGAGGAGTCAAACACCATGTGGACAGGTACTCATGGCCTTTGTGAACAGCAGGCAGGCTGCCCTTTTGGGGGTTCACCTGCAGAGATCTGCAGAGTGCTTGAACTGGCAAAGGAAGCCAGGCTGGGGATACGTGTCCCTCCTTTAAAGAAGCATTTTCAAAGAAGCCATTTCAGTACTTCCAGGTAAACAAGTCTTCACACTTCTTGCTAACAAATGCTGACAGTAAGTGTGCTCTAAACATCCCCAGGATGTGGGAGGCGAGGTCCTTTCTGTGTCTTAGCTGGCACATTGCTGGAGCAGCTGGCCCCAGTGTTTGTACAGCACAGACTCCCCAGCCCGCTGTGCCGGGGGTGCCACTTGGTCGGAGCGTGGGCACCGCGGCCAACGCGTCTGTGGAAAGCACAAGTCCCACAGCAGGGAGCAGGAAACAAGAACATGCTGCAGAAACAATACCAGCGTGCACGGAGGAATGGAGGCACTGGCATGCTTGACTGAAAGCAATCAGAGTCAAAAACCTGCCACTGAACTTGGTGAGAGCGGGATTAAATCGTCTCCAGGTTAGTTCTGGATGGAGTGGTGATGGGAGTATTTCCATTGTGGGTTATAGTTTACCTTGCTCTGGGTAGAGAAGGGTGACAACAAGCACTTCATAATGCATTTCATATGCTATAAACGAGCACCAACCTCAGAACTGCAGGCTTGGCCTAATTTAGAAAGCTGGAACAACTGTGGACATTGGCAAGCCAAAGCCAGGACTGCCCGTCAATACCATTACAGACTCACAAGTAGTACCAAGAGTTGCTGCAGGTCAGAAACCCTGAAGTGACCTGGAAGTCTGCACATGGAAGATGTAAATAACTTACAAGGCATGGCCTAAAAATAGACATCATCTGTAGGACGCTGCAGGGTGCTCAACAAACAGCAACTGATTTGCTTGCACGGCATGAAGGGGTCACTAAACAGTAAGCACAGGTTTTACACAGCAGGGACTGAAAGGCACTTCAGGTGACATTTCGTTTCCCCTCCAGTGATGTTCTGAAATGTCAGCTCCTGCACCTCACCTGGGGTTGGGAAGCAAGGAGCAGGGGACGTGAGCTTTCCAAAAGATTTGTCTTTGGGGCTGAAATGTTATATGCTTTGCACGTGTCCAAAGCTGGCTTTTTGCCAAATGTTTGATACCAGTTCCTTCCAAACTGCTTTAAGGTAAAAACAAAACAAAAATGTTCTGCCTGTCAAAAAACACTGATTCAATTCTTTCTTCTTCTGCACAGGAATGGTTGAAAGAAGAAGAGCACTGGACTGCTGCACTGCCTTGAAAAAATGATCCCTGGCTAATTTCTAGCAATCACTCAGTGATCTCCGGACACCTCACAGATAAGGTGGGTTTCTGTATTGTCCAGCACCACAGATGGGCTGGCAGGGAGCAGAGCTTGCTGCCACTACTGGGGGTTATTGATGGTGAAGAGGAGAAGCCCACATCACTTTAGACCAGGCTGTCTACAAGGGATGCACAGCTGAGGTCTGTCTATCCAAGAGTTGCTCTCCTGGAACACTGCAGTAGGAGACCTGATTCATCTGTCCTCGGTAATTGGAGCTGTGCTGGTATTTACCAGACACAGCTCTGCAAAAGCCACCACAACCCTCTCAGGTTGTGCAGGGACATGCTGGGACAGGAGGTAGTCTGGTAGTCCAGGAAGGTTGAGGAGAGGAAAGGAAGGACACTGGAGAGATCAAATAGTGACCCCTATGTGTAGACATTATGCCCTCAAAACAGATCCGAGGTGACTAGTAAGCAGTAAAGGTGTTATTATTTTTATTTCCTTTCCAGCATATAATTTGTTTCAACCAGCAAAGAGTTACAATATTATTAAAAAGCAAAGAGCTTTCTTGTTCGGCTGCATTTTTCCCTCTGCCTCTTCCCTCTGATGCCTTTCAGGCATGTAACGGCCTGGGCAGCTAAACTTTGCTTTCTGCAAGTAGCAGATAGATAAACACAGATAAAATTGGTTGCTGAACGGAATTCAACCTACAGCTAAACGACAGCACTGACTGCTCTTTAGCTTTCAAATTCCAGGCAGCAAAGCAGCAAAAAGGAAAGGAAATTAATGTGATTTGAAATACATAAACCTCCAAAGCGCTTCCCCAGAGAGCACGAAGAACCAGAACTGACCGACTCCTTTTGCTACGGTCATTATGGGGAAGGCACTAAGATGTGGCATTAGATCTCTAGGGACTGTAAGGGGAAACGGTTTTCCAAGTGTCAGGGCTACAAACAGGATATGGCTTCCCAAATTCCCAGCTCCTAAGTTAGTCAGGGCATAAGCAAATCTCTCACCACATTTTCCCACTATGGTAACATGTCAGGTCCATGAAAATGTCACTTTACTCAGCTGTTATTTACAGCTATAATGAAAGATCTGGCTGAGTTATTTGACACACATCTACATTCTCCGCTCTGGAAGATAAGCAATATTTGTTTAACAGACCATTTATTTTCCCAGTATCTACACGTATTGCACATTACGAGTAATTTATACTAGAGCCGGATGAGATTATATTGGGAGGTGATAACAGTAAATGCAAACCTCAGGTAGAAGGCAGGGCTTTATTATTTCAAAGAATTACATCTTTCCTGCTTATCTCCCTCTTTCATTTCAAGTGGGAAACGCGTGCTGCTTTGCTTACTGTCCACAGGGTTATGCAGGGACGCAATGGAAATTCAACAGCTAGAAGACATCACCCTAGATGTCTGCCATCACAGCCACGTTTTTCAGAGTAGATGATAAGATCCTGATGCCCGTTTCCCTGATCTGCCCAGAAGGGACATCTGTCACAGCCTGCAGATCAGGTGAGGCCCAGAGCCATTCCTCTCCTTCACGGCTGGCATTGAACCAAGGAGGAAGAGGAGCGGGTGCATGTCCAGAACTTGATGGAGCTGAGGGACAGGGGACAGGCAGGTGGGGTTAGCCCTCGCCAGGCAGAGGCCACAGGTGTGGAACTGAAACCACCACCAACCCCTGCTGGGGGAATTCCTGCAGGATCTGGCCCTGTGGGAGGGGTTCAGAAGTGGGTCAGGATGCCAGGCTGCCAACGCCAACCCCTGAGGCAAGCCCTGCTGTGGTGCCAGATGGGTGCCTTGCTTCCCACACAAGCCTGGGGCTTTCCCCAGAGCTGCTGGGACCCACGTGGCCTTGGAGAATCACATCACCTGCCTCGTGCAGGCTGCAAGCTGGCTCAGGTTGGGGTGCTCACGTGTGCTTTCACTGCAGGTGTTGGCAGGTCTGGAAGTTACATATTGCCTGGAAATCCTTCAATGGCCATGTTCACCACCCAGCCCCTACAAGACAGCCCCCTGTTCTTCCTCGGGCACTTCCAGTGTAGGACAAGATGCTGCCTCTGTGGCCCAAGGGCTCTGTTAGTTAGGATGTTAGGAGGAGATGTTCTGGGTTCGTTGGGTTTTTTTTAATATCGGCCTTAAATCCAACAGGGTTGGCACACGTGCTGACACAGACCCCATTGTTGGGACCACGCCTGTGAAGGCTGTGCCAAGGGGCAAGGTCTCTCCTCTGTGCTTGAGATGAAGCTGAAAACTCCTCCCACCACGAGATTGATTCTGGCACCACACTGTTGTCCAACAAGCTCCTGAATGTAAGTAGCAATTCCCTATATCCCTGCAGCTCATTCACTAGGATATAGTCCCACAGAAGTCAGTGCTCAGTCAGGCAGGTTGAATGCACAAATACTTAAAAGTCTTTCAAAGAAAAGGAACTTGTTGCACTGACAATAGTTGCCTTCACTGTTGGGAAGGAACAGTCTGCTGCTTCAAGAAGGTACAATTGATAGTTCTGCAGATGAATGTGATCCTGATCTCCCTCAATATCCATTAGGAGTTGTGCTGATGAATGCAAAGCATTTATTTCAACACAGCCTAAAAAACAGTTCTTTTAGCCTAAAACTATATCCCAGGGCAACAACAACAGGGAAAACTCTAAGCAGATCTGGCTACTTTGATGTCATTTCATTCCCTACCCTTTCAGCAACTGCTTCTTTGTGCATATTATTAGAGATTTATTTCATTGTATTTATGTTCCTTTTGGCCCAACTTTATGGGCACAGCCTAGAGAATTCAGTAACCCAAGTCATAAGAATCAATTTAATCATGTTTCAGATTTAAGAGGCAGAACTAGGTAAAAGTCACCTTCTATTTTCCTTAGGATATTTGCACTTAAGCACAAAACACTTGACAAATTCCCTATATGGACTTTATTTGAAGAAATAAAAGCCAATTTCTCCTTCACTGCAAGTAAAATGAAAAAAAAAAGTCCCTAAATGGTGTTGAACTTGTGGTATTTATGACTCTGGCCCTAAATTGCCTTTCATATTTTCTTGGATCCCAAAGCTGTTCCCAAATTGGCTGGTTAAATGTGAATAAATGGTGCATTGTCTTTGAAACAAAGTTGTGCTTATTAAAGAGCAGAGAGTTTACTTTTTCAGAGTCACAGTTAATAACACAGAGCAGAGAGAGACAGATTTTAAACACAAGAAAGTCCTCGATAAGGGCATGCAATCTCCTTTTAGTTGGCATGAGCAGAAAAATTCTGTAACATATTTGTGAAGTTGGAGCAAAATAGCTGACTGCAAAATGAACCAAATGGGCTCAGACTGGTGGTTTGATAGTTCTGCAACAAAGAATAGTATGAAATACTTCCTGCAGATCTGGAATGTTGTTTTCTTCACCTGACAGCAATTTATTGTTACTGTACATACTGGAACTTTGGCCGTTACTGACTGAGTTTCTATAAGGTTTTATAGTATTCTAACACAAAGAGTGCAGGCTGCGTTCTTGGCTCTGTCATGTTTGTAAGCAAAACAAACACTAATATAACAGGCAATTTAAAAAGGCATTTCTTGGTGTGCAAATAGCTGCAATTATTGATTTGCCAATTTTGCATGCTCTGATGAACTGCAGAGGAGTAGAGTTAAACAGAAGCACATTCATGGATTGCATAACTGCTCATAGATCTGCAAGTCCTTGTTAAACAGCAAGATTAAAGCTAATTAGACACTGCAATTTAGAAGTATGAAGCAAGCAACGCTCTTTGTATTTTTCCTGCTTTAATAACAGCTGCGAGCACAGTATTTGCAGGGTGGAATTGAGAAGAAGTGAAACTCTCTGTACAATCAAATAGAGTGAAAGTTCCTACTTACTTCATTATTTTGCAGTGCACCAAACAGAGTTAAAGAGCACAGTCCAGCACCACTCCAAACAATACAGTCCAAGTGATTTCAGTGTTTGAATCCCTGTAACCTTCTGTACCTCATAAAAGCATGAAAATACCCCCAATGTATGGAACCCATACTCTAAGAGCAGGAGCCAAGGGCTACCCTTGCAATGCGATACAAAATTTGGAAGCATCTACAGTGTGAGTTTCTCTGAAATCTGTAAAATGTTGATTTATGATCAAAATAACTGGAAAACCTATTTTTGCCTTACATATATCACAGGAATAACTTTTTTTTCCCTCCTGTAGGAGTCAAGCACTAAAACTCTCAGTCCTAATAGCCCGTGAGCTGAAATAAATTTTCTCCTGTTCTTTCATCTTCGATATCTAAAGGCTTTCTTGGGTGGAGTGGTGGCCAACTCTCATACTACTGGAACAGAAACTGTCATATCCCTATTACAGAGCTCTGCAGACACCTCCACCCCAGCTGTTTTCTGGTCCAGCAGCCTTCATTCACCTTCCTCCCACATTTTATTTTACAGACACATAGCAACAGCCTGATCCTGCCAAATCAGAGGTGTATGGGTAACTCTTTGTACATAAACAGTCTCATCAAGATGGCACACACGCCCCAGGCATCTGCAGGTAAGGCTCCATATTTGGAACCACGGCACGAGTAGGTTTTGAGATTTGATTTTTGCAATAACCCCACTGTAGTCTGGTGAGGAGGAGTCACTGTTCATAGGGAAGGCTTTCGCAGGTTCAGGAGTAAAAGGCAGTTTTTAATAATATGCTAAAATAGCCTTAGAACTTGAGAAAGTGCACGAGGGTGTGAGAAGTCATTGCAAAATGCTTCTGTGGGGAAGAAGTCTTTGAATTGTCACTGATCCATAGGTAGGTAAATTTTTCTCATAGAAAGATTTGTGCCACAGTTTCTATTCCATATAGAAGCCAATTAACTGTGTTGAATACACCTACAAACATCTTTTATATATGTTTAAAAAAATTTTAAAGAGCCCTAGGGAAGAACTTTCATCATCCTTTAAAAGCCTCCACCACCATTGCTTATACTCTGAACTTTGTGTTTTAAAAACAGCTTTTATAGCCCAGGGATAGAAATAAACAAATAAAACAAAATAATAGTCATAATAAATCTACCCAAATAGTAGTCCACAGTGAACCGCTTCGCTGGCACTGCAGCAGGCTGACCGAAATCTGCTGTGCTCTGCCAGCTGAGGGGCCATCAGAACACGAACCCTTCACTCCACAAAGCCCCACTCCAGCAAAGGGTGGCAGACATGGCTTGCCCCAGCCCCTGTCCCAACTCCTCGGACACTCATCTGTACCCTGCCCCAGCTAACAGGCAGTTCTGTCTTTCTTTCAGCCAGGGCTCCAGCAAAGGTGGCTATGTGCTCCTCACAAAACAGATGTGGGATGCCAGGATGGCTGGGAGCCAGATGCCCCTGCCTCGGTCCGGATGGATGCAGCTCCAACCTGCACCTACCAGGCAGCGCAGTGTCACTGAGGAGCAATTACACTTGTCTGTTCCGAAGGTAAGGCAGGGGAGCCTGTTTCAGACCTGGGTTTTGCTCCCACACCGTTATTACGAGTTTACCCAGCCAAACTGCCAACACTCTTGTGAGCGTATCCGAAAACCCCGCCTGGCACTGGGCCAAGCCCTGCCTGGCACAGCAGCGGCGGTGCCAACACCGGACTGCAGCTGCCACGGGCAGCCCGAGAGCCCCCGGCCACCAGCGGGGGGGACACGGCCAGGGGTGTCCCAGCAGCGGGCACAGGCGCCCTCCTGCCTGTCCCCCACGCCGGGGCTCGGCCAGCCTTTCCCCCCCCGGGGCCCGGAGGACAGAGCCCGGCGCCCGGGTCTGGCTCTTACCACTTTGCCGTCCTTGGCTCTCGCCGGCCCCGGGGCCGGGGGTCCGCACCGCCGCTGCCCCTGCCCGCCCTCAACCGGCGACAGGAGTAGAAGGGGGGGCTGGGGCTGGGGGCAGCCCCGAGTCCGGGCTGTCCAACAAGCCTTCCGGCTCTTCTCCTTCAGGCTCTCGTCCATCCCTTGCAGCTGGAGGTGACCTACCATTCTGGGGGCAGCGAGGGGGCCGCGGCGGGAGAAATCCTCCAGGCGCCGCCGCGGAGGAGGGAAGGGGAAGGGACGGGGGGCCCCCCCTGAGTCCCGACCGCCGCCACAGCCCGCTGGGACCCGGTGCTGCGCGGGCAGCGCAGCATCGGCCGGACCGGGGTGCCCGGCCGCCTCCCCTCCACCGGCCCCGGCCCTGCCCCCCGTCAGGCGCTCCTGGGGAGGGAAGCCGAAGCCCGATCCCCCGCCCAGCCCCGGGGGACGCGGCCGTGTGCGCGGGGCGGCCCGCCGGCAGGGAGCGCTGGGGGACGGGACGGGACGGACGCGACGGGGATGGATGGGGACGCGCCGCGCTCCTCCACACGCTGCACCGCCCGCCGCCGCTCCCGGGCCATTTATCCGGAGAGGGTGGGAGGGAGCCGGGGAGCGCCCTCCCCTTCCCCCGGCCCCCCAGCTCTGCCCCGGCCACACGTTCTCGGGCGCTTCCCAGGCGCGGAGCGCGTTCGGCGCCGCCCGCCCGCCCTGTCCCTCCCGGGCGTCGGGAGAAGGGCTTCCTCACCCACCCACCTATCCCAACCTATCCTGGGCTGCGGCTTTCCTCCGCTCATTCCCTCACTGCTGTCAGAGTTTTCCCTCACGTATGCCCGATTGTCCCCTCAGTTCTGATTTTCGTACCTCTTTCACCCCCACATCCCCAAAGTAGCTTTTCCCTTCAGTGTCGTGGTGTGTGGGCACCAGGGAAGAGACTCTCTCAAGAGCCGTCATCTCTCTTTGCTTTGAGATGGCAAAGGGTGGCTTCACCAAGGCAGTGGGTCACCGTGGCAGTCTTGGTCCTGTGCCACCATACCCTCGTGGTGGCTCTCGTGCCTCGTCCTGCACCTTCACACCTCTTTCTTTTGCTCCACAGCTGCTGGTCTGCTACCAAGGACGTGGCCTCCCCATCCCACCCATCATGTGTTGGAGACAACCATAAACACCATGGGAGAGCATCCCAAATCCTAGCACAGCCTCTAGCCAGGAGGAGTATCATGTGCCAGAGGCACTGCCAGCACTGAGGTGAATGTAGAGTCCATATCAACCCTCAGGGTTCAGGGAAGCAGCAGCGGTTAAACAGGTCAGGCTGGCTGAAGCCAATATTGTCATTTATTGCACAATAACTGGCTGATGCTAATGTTACCTTGTCCACAGCCTTGGTTGTGTTTTTCTCATCATGTTTTCTCTCTACATAGAGTCTAGACTGTGAGAAATCTGGGGCAAGCCCACTCATACAGCTCAGCCTGGTGGAGCTTTATTCATGGCAAATAGGTTTCCATGGGAAACTGTTGCAATACAACTGGCCACCTTCTCTTGGTCTGAGTTGTTGGCCCAGCACCCAGTGGAATGAGACTGTGTCTGTTTGTGCTACAAAACCAACAAACACATTTGTTGTGGCAACTGAGGAAAATTTGAGGGGTCTGGTATTGCACCTAGTGGTGAAGGCTTTACATTCAAGCCATGAAAATGGCACAAAGCCCTGGGAGGTTGGGTCAAATGTGAAAGTGCCCACGCTCCATCCTCCTGAGGGAGCGGGTCACACTGTAGGGTGGTAAAATTGGATTTGTTTAGACGTAGCCTTGCTCAAGTCAAAAGGAAAGGCCAAGGATGCCCAAATCCACCTTTGACTGAAATGAGGGGCCCTCCTCGGAGTGACTGAAGTGATTTGTATGCACTGAGCTGTGCAGAGGAATGTCACTGATTTGTAAATGTCAAACAGGCACCGAGCAGCCCACACACAAACCTCAGTGAATTTTTACCTCTGACCCGCTCGCCAGCTCCAGCAGCTGCACAGGCTGATTTAGAGCCCCTTACTGTAAGGGCTCTAATGTCTCACACAGGCTATGGCTGATCTGAAAATGTCAAAGGGGACCAAAGGTCAAAATTTCCATAAATTAGTCCCTGGCTTACTACCTATCATGTAATAGGATTCTCTGGCCAGTTAACGCTGTGAACTCAGGCATTCAGCCCAGCAGTTCCCCTGCAGCCCCGTTCCCCTGCCCCTCTCCTGAACTGGCAAGACCATATGTGCAAGGGGAAGGAGTGTCTTCAGAGCTACTTTCCTTCACAGAGAAAAAAGGAGCAGGAAAAAGAGACACTGGGCAGGGGTGAGTGCACTGTCCTTTAGTCCTAGAAAGGTATATTTTAGCTTGGGGAGCAGTTGAAGGGAGACTGTGTTTTTTCTGATTCTTGTTTTGAAAAACTGCAATCCAGTCTTTCCTGGAGCTAAATAATGTATATTTTAAATGTAGATTTCTGTACGACACGTGTTTAGCTCAAAAGTGGTTGTTCATAGTTTAGAGGTTGCTGAGCTCTAAACACCTGAAATACTAAGCACTGCTGAGCATCCCCAAGCACTGGTAGGGACATTGACTTCACTTATAACTGGCAAAACTGCTGCTGGGCTCTGCAGGGCATGTGTGTGCACATATTATGGTGGTATTTTGATTGTCGTTGTTGTTGTTGTTGTTCTGCAGCCCATGTGTGTATACATATGGTGGTATTATTGTTGTAGTTGTTATTATTATTATTATTCTGTTTAAAGTTAGTAGTGGGTTTCTCACCCCAGTTGAGCGCTGTTGTGTAAAGCAGAGGGCATGCAGGTGGTAAGAAACGCTGCTGTCCTGATGGCTGTGATGGAAATGACTCGTTCTTTGGTCAGTCCTCCTGGAGCCCCAGTATCCAGCTCTTGGCCAGTGAAAACCAGCCTGAACTGAAACTCGGTGTAGGATACAGTGTGCAGACACAGGTGTAGATATGGTGTAGTACAGAATTAGACTTGGTGAAAAAGGATGTCAATACTGCACAGTGCCCTACTGAAGCAGAAAAACAACAAATGCAGGTTTTTTCAGTTGAGACCATGTTGCTTTACTGAAACTCTCTTTAGTTCAGCAATTCTTAATTTTCTGGAAGGAATCACTAGGGATTGGTACATTCCTGTGTCTTGGCTTGGGAACAGGGAAACTGGGCCCTTGTGTGTATGGTGGGACAAGAGGAAGGAAAAGTCTGGAGGGGAGTTTTCTGAAGCAGCTGAGTGTAGACAAACAGGTGCAAGCACAGTGGTACAAGGGCAGCAGTGTGTGAAGGCACAGGCTGGGGGACAGTGGCCTCCACTATCAGCACTAACTCTGAAGGAATAACCCCGCCTAGCTGGGAATTTGAGTGTAAAACAACTGTAAATAAGGAGTGAGGAGTCAAGAAGCAGAAAACTAGGGAAAATTCCAGCAGGATTGTATCTGTTAAGATTCACTCTCAGGCAGAGGTGCAGTTCTGACATCGAGTAGAGAGGGCTTTTTGAAGCACACATTTCTCAGAGCTTCTCCAACTTTTTGTTATTGATCTATTTGTTATAAAATGCAATAGCCAGGTCCAGTCCTGAAACAGGTGGGAGGTCCTGAGAGAGGGAGTGTGGGGGGGTGGCAGTGGGAGCAGGAACACAGACAGCCTTCTTGCTGTGAACAGCCCTGCTTCTGGATAAAAGGTGCTATCACTTCTTGAATCCATTGGGACTCAAGCTTCTCCATGCTTTTATGAGTCCTCTGCCTCCTGTTTTCCTAGCTATTCTCTTAGCTAGATTTGAGTACTTTAGGAATCTGCCGTCCCACAGACGTGGCTGAGTGTCAGCATCACGTGCTAAGTTTCCTTCCACTGCTGCCAGGCTTGAAAGACAAATACAGTGAGGGAAGAAAGAGACAGGATACAAACACCTACATCAGGACTTTTTCTGAAGCAGGCTGGGTGGCAAAATGGGAAGAATGCTAGGAATGTCCATTCTGGTTCAGTGTCGAACCCGATCCTTCAGAACACCCACAGCGTAACTAGTCCCAGTAAGAAGGCTCGGGCCACGGCTGGATGTTACTGTGCTCTCTGGTTCTCTCCAAAGAAGTGCAGCCTCCCCTCTCTGCCATGTGTTCCCGACAATCGTGTTGAAAGGCGCTGAAACAGCAGCATCACTGAAGGGAATGTGACCAAAGAGCAGGACACAGGTACGTCAGGCCCAGACCACCCTTGCCTGGCTCACCACGGAGTTGTTCACCTCAGCCCAAAATGATCCAAAGCGGAGGTGGCATTCCACTGCTCACTGCATGGGTCCAGATGTGATACAAAGAGCAGGAAGCACATCCATAGTGCTAGACCTGGAAACCACAATAATGATTCATTTTGCAGGGCAGTATGGCAGAGTTCAAATCAAAGGAACTTTTCTGTCTGAAAAGCACAGGCCATTTATCAAGAGATAAAATCACCTCCTGAGGTCTACTCATTAATTTTTAGGCAGCCCCCACATCAGAAATGTTTTCAACCTGGACTTTAAGTCTTGGCTGTCTGCTCCAGTGAAGGCCACAGCCCCCTCAAGTCATGGCTGCACCTGCTCTGGCCCTGCTACCCTCACCAGACAAACAACCCTCCTAGCAGCGACTTGGAACAAACTGTCTAGCAGGAAATGGGAATGAAAAGCACAAAAAAATCTCCTTTTCTGGGGTCAGGAGTGCCTGTTCTTGGCAATAAATCAAAGGAAGCAAATTTCCTTTGAATAGCCTGAATAAAGACGGTGCATCTCCCAGGCATGACAGTAGACTTTGCAAGTGCAGTAAGAAAGGATGGTCTTTGAAGAACATGCACAGGGTTGTATGAAAATGCATTTGACTGCAGTTTGTACAGTTTGTGCCACAATTAAGGCAAAAGCCCCCAGATGAATGTTGGATTACAGAACGAGCAAAGGATCTGAAGCACCAAAAAATTACCATCAAAACTTCTGCTGACCCTGCTTGCCTTTGAGTAGGGTGTTACATGATGAGCATTCGATTACCTGTGAAGTCCAGTTGGCATTTGCTGATATTGTTACATACTGGATTCCAAACACACCTCCCTGCCTCACTGCCCTGGAGAAGGACCTGCCCATTATCCTGTGAAATTTCCTCTGCTTGTCTGTCAGGGCTGCTGTGCTGTAATCTTGGAGGATAATCAACAGC